TAACACCCCCAGCTGGAAACAATGGATAAGACAATAGCTGCTATCGCTTTACCATTGGAAGTGACCCCCTGAATTTGCACTTCTTTCATCTCAGGACTGGAGCACTGGAGGGTGGGCGATTTCCTGGGGGGGAGTGGCTTAAGCCGCTTCCCCACCGGCCAGTTGGCTGTCGACGGTCCAGGCTCAATGGTCCACTACAGATATGGGACTTGTTATGGAGTGAGAGTGTGGCTTGGCTACGGGACGTCACCAGGAAAGACCTTCTTTTGCCCCGCAGCCTAACTTCAATGTCCCGGGCTGGAAGGTGGAGAGAGAAGTGGACGTCCCCAGGGTGCTGGGCCACCCTCGAGGTGAGTCAACTAGCCAGGGTCCTCAACACTGGGTGGGTACCTTGTACAACCTAGAAACCCTAACTACCCCCTCACTGCTGCTCTTGGAGAGTGAGGGGTGGCCTGAGGGCCCCACGAGGATGCTGCGACTGCGGTTGTGTGTGTGCTACAAAGCTAGCGACCTGGGGCATTGTTTCCAGTTCTCTTCCTCCCCACCCCCACCTCCAGCCAGTCCCCACCCCCACCCGCCTTGCCTATCTCTTTCCTCTCCCCACCGTACACAAAGGTTTGGCCTCTGCCCCTCCCCTGGCCCCCAGGACTTCCCAGGTTGGGTCCCTAGTGTCTGCACCGGTCTTCAGCTACCACTGCCTCCCGGTTCCCACCCCACCTCCACCACCCCGTCTGGGGATGGGGACCCAGTGCTGCCCCCGGGACCCTCCAGTTTGTGGGCTGCACTTGCCTTCCTTGCTCCCAGGCAGACACGTGGTCCAGCAGAGCGACTGAACTTGGGGATTGCTGAGGCTTGGTCTACTTGGTGGTCTCTGGCCTACTTACCTTTGGCAGTGCGAGTTTCCTAGGGAAGCTTCGGTCTTTTGTTTCCAGCTAGGCCTCCACATCACCAAGGTTGGGTTAGGGGTGGTAGGGGAGTAGAGAGCCAATATGGCTGACACTTCCTTGGGAAGGCGTGAGGCTCAGGGGCTAGCCATCTAGAGGAAGAACGGGACCCTCCAGCTACTCTGAAACTCGGGACCTGCATGGTCCCCAAAGGGACTGCCGGGTCAGGAGAATATGGGGGATCCCTGAGACCAGGGCTCCTGTCAGCATGGGCCTGGGATCTTCCCTTTCTTGCACAGAGCCCAGGCTGAACAGAAGCTAACCTTGGGCTTGAACACTTGTATTTGCTTGCAGTGGAGGGAAATGGGAGAGCAGGGCAGCTGCCGGCAGTTGGCCACGCCCTTTCTTCATTCCTTAACTCCTGCTAAGATGCTTGGCTGGATGCTCGTTCTTTATCCCCTCCCTTCCCTTCTAGGAATTCCAGGGGGCCATGTACAGACCTCTTTGCAGATCCCTTCCAAAGGTTGCTGGGAGGGGCTGGGGCGGGCTGGCACACAGCTGTTCTGAATCTACAGCTCAGCACTCACTTTTTGCACCTCGTTGCCTGAATGCACCTGGCAGGCGTCTTGTCTGCCTTGCGTTGCACGTCCAGGAAGGGCGGCAAGGCCGGGAGGACTGTTGCACCTGAACCGTATCACCCATTGTCTACTTAAGGATGATAGGATTCCTCGTGCTGCCCCTGCCTGGAGCCTGCCCCTTTCTTCAGTCATGTTTTCTGGGAGTCCAGCCCCAGGTTGCATGGCTAAGGGGTCGGTGTGGGGGCAGGGTCTCCCCGGAACTACTTTAGCTTAGCAGATTTTTGAAGACAGAAGTGAGGGTGCTAGCGGCTCGCCCCCACTCTTGACCCTTTGGGAAGAGAAAGCAAAGACGGGGTGGAGCCAGTTGGGACTGGGGTTGGAAGAAGAGCTGGCAGGGTGGGACTAGGTACCGCAGGGAGGGGGGGTTGTGTTAAGAGGAAGTGTGGCATAGCTGGACGGTGTGTTGGAAAGTGTGCACAGACGGCTGCGTGAATTCAGGCAAGTCAAGTTTACCTTTCTGGATCTCAATGTCTGTCTGTGAAACGGTCAGCTTTGGGTCAAAGCTCTAAGAGGCCGGTCCTTTGGGATCCTTTGGATGATGGATTTTGGCTGATGGGAATTGCAGCTTTCAGGAGAAGGAGCTCGGAGTAGGACTGCTTATGTTCTCTATGATCTTGGCGGAGCTCATGGCACCTCCAGAGCTTGCCGCTCTCCAGGTGGGAATAGCAAACCTCAGGGAGGTGCAGGTGTGATGGAGCGTGGGGTAGGGTTGAGGACCACCTCGAAATAGAAGTACCCAGGCTGTGAAATGCAGACTACACTCTCCCATGAAGAGCTTCACTCACTGCCCCCCAAGTTGTCATCCTTTAAGGGTTCGTGTGTTCCGCCCACTCACTCACACAGTTGAAGTTAATTGTTTCTTTTGGGTTGGAATGTGGCTGTGTTCCTACTTTGGTTGTATCTGGAAGAGGACTCTACTTAAAGCTGTGTAACGGTTCCATTGGCCGCCTCTTGTTGAATGGGATCATTGCCAGAAATAAAAAGCTCGGCTATGTGTGTGCCTGGTTTGGTCTTTAGAGTTCAGTTGTTTTTATTTGTTTGTTTTTTATTGTTCATGCAAAAGTTACTTTTTACTAAGGATGGATAGATAGGACAGTTGGTTATCTTCTGGGTCCACAGAGAAGGAATTATTTTTAAAGAAAGTATGAATAAGTGCATAACATGAGAAGCCCAATGCTGGAGTTGTCGTAGGCATTTTAAAGAGAAATCTCTGGTCCATAAATGTCTCACGGGGAGGCTGAGCACCATTTTCACAAAGTTCTCCCTTATGCTTATAAAGTGGAATTCCGGTGCTTTGGTGCTTTTAAACTTTTGACTTTTATTCAATCACGGTTTATATCAAACACATAAGTATACAATTAGGTGATGTGACATGTGTAGGTACTCAAACACGATTTAAAAAAAAGAAATTGGAAATTATTTAACGGGTGGGTTTATATAGAGAGATGGGTGGGGGGATCTCCCATCTGCTGATTAACTTCCCAAATGGCCACATCAGCTGGAGCTGGATGTGTGTGAAGCTGGAAGCTTCCTGCCGACGGCTCACTTGGGCCATCTTCTGCTGCTTTCACATATGCATTTGCCGGAAGCTGGATCAGAAGTGGAACAGCTGGGACTTGAACCCACCCTCCTATGGGATTTTGTTGCTCACTGTGCAACAGCTCCTTAAACATAATTTGATCTAAAGAATCTTACAGAACGGACAGGCCCTTGGCTATGGGCACCCTAGTGTGGTCTTTCTAATTCAAAATTGTCCAGGAAGAAATCCTCTCTCTACTTTGCAATTGAACACTGATGTGCTTGTATTGAAAAGGAGGTGAGTTCCTGCCTTAAGGAGCATCTGGTTTCAACTACTCACCCTGGGTGGCTTAGACACATTAAGCCAACTCCATCTATCTGGTCAATTAGGGATAATGCTAATATCTACCTTAAAATGTCGTCAGGATTAGAACAGGACATGGTTAGAACACACTGCCCGTTTGATAAAAGGGTGTTTTAAAGGAGTTCTTGGGGATGGGCCCTTGGCCTTGCTCCATCTCCTGGAAGCAGCAGTGGCAGCCTTACCACCACACAGGAAGCCTGGCTTGGGTCATTACCATTGCGGGCATTGGGGGAATGAGCCAGTGGGTAGGACGTCTCTCGCTCCTTTTGCCTTTGGAAAGAAATATAACCGACATCATAAAAAGACTGAGGACCCCCGAAGAGCTTTTATTTGTATGAAGATTTTTCTGAAAAGTTCATGAAAAATAGAATTGACAGATAAGTTTATTGCAAACTGTTTCTGTAATCCAGGTATAGTTTCTCATAATTCTCTCTTTTTAAAAAGATTTATTAATTTATTTATTTAAAAAGATTTATTTATTTTTATTACAAAGTCAGATATACAGAGAGGAGGAGAAACAGAGAGGAAGATCTTCTGTCCAATGATTCACTCGCCAAGGGACCACAATAGCCCGTGCTTTGCCAATCTGGAGCCAGGAACCAGGAACCTCCTCCAGGTCTCCCACTCGGGTGCAGGATCCCAAAGCATTGGGCTGTCCTTCCCAGGCCACATGCAGGGAGCTGGATGGGAAGTGGAGCTGTCGGGATTAGAACCGGCGCCCATGTGAGATCCAGGCACGTTCAAGGTGAGGACTATAGCCACTAGGCCACTGCACCAGGGCCCCTCTTTTTTTTTTTTTTTTTTCCTTAAAGATTTTTTTTTAATTGGAAAGTCTCAGGGCACAAACAGAGCTGTAAGGGAAGTGGAGCAGCTGGGATGCGAATTAGCGCCCATGTGGGATCCTGGTGGATGCAAGGCAAGGCCTACAGACACTTGGTTACCGCACCAGGCCTAAGGGTGTTCTTAAGTAAAGCAAATCTTTGAAAAAAATTTTGTTTTGAGTATGCGATTAAGAACATAAAGACTTCTAATATACTGTGATTGCACTGTTGTCTCAGCTCACACTATCACAGTTTTCCTTAAATGCTAGCTAGTATGTGGGCAAAAAAGGCAATAATATCCCACCATTATATTTATAATGACACGTTAGTGTGTCCTCTTATTAGGAAAGTAGCGTAACAAGGGCAGAACTTATGCAGTTGTGTGACTCAGTGTGTGTGGTGCTAGGTGTTGTCCGAGCAGATGGCAGCTGATCCTTTGTGTTCTCAGAATGGGGAAACGTGTCTCTCCCTGTCTCCAGTCTCTACTTTCACAGTCTCTGTTCTGCCTGCACCCATCCTACAGGACCTGTGGATTGTCATTCCCACCCTCCAGAGGAGGTCCCAAAGCACAGAGAGTTTGAATGAGATGCCCAAGGTGGAGTTAGGATGCATCCCTCAGTACCAGAGATGAGACACACCCAAGGAGCCTGTCAGCCAGCAGCTTCCCTGGGGAGAGTGGTAGGGAGTGGAGAAAGCCCAGGGGTAGACCAGTCTTTGTTTCTGGGTGTCACGTGGGTCCCTTGTCCTCACCTCTGCCTCTCTGCTTTCTGCCAGGATGACTTCTCGGGACCAGCTGGTGCAGCAGGTGCTGGGTGAGCTGCAGGAGGCTGTGGAGTCCGAGGGCCTGGAGGGTCTCCTTGGAGCGGCTCTGGAAGCCAAGCGGGTGCTGACTTCCTTCAGCCTCCCTACCTGCCGGAAGGGAGCAAGCTCCGGACCACAGGTGCTCGAGGTGGACTCGGTGGCCCTGAGCCTGTACCCGGAGGATGCTCCCCGGAACATGCTGCCGCTGGTGTGCAAGGGAGAGGGAAGCCTGCTCTTCGAGGCGGTCAGCTTGCTGCTGTGGGGGGACTCTGGGCTCAGCCTGGAGCTGCGGGCCCGCACCGTGGTGGAGATGTTGTTGCACAGACACTACTACCTCCAGGGCATGATTGAGTCCAAGGTCATGCTGCAGGCGGTGCGCTACTCCCTGTGTTCCGAGGAATCTCCTGAGATGACCAGCCTGCCGTCTGCCACATTAGAGGCCATCTTCGATGCTGACGTCAAGGCCACCTGCTTCCCCAGCAGCTTCTCTAACGTGTGGCACTTGTATGCCCTAGCCTCCGTCCTGGAACGCAACATCTACTCAATCTACCCCATGCGCAACCTCAAGATTCGGCCCTACTTCAACCGTGTCATTCGGCCCCGCCGCTGCGACCACGAGCCTTCCACCCTACACATCATGTGGGCCGGTCAGCCCCTCTCCAGCCACCTCTTCCGCCACCAGTACTTTGCCCCCGTGGTGGGGCTGGAGGAGGTGGAGGTCGAAGAGGCTCCCAGCCTCTCTGGGCCTCCAACTCTGGTCCCACTGCAGCCGCTACCGCCAGCCAAGACCCTGGAGCTGCTCAACCGTGACCCGGGCCTCAGTTACTCGCACCTGTGCGAGCGTTACAGTGTTACCAAGAGCACCTTCTACCGCTGGCGGCGGCAATCGCAGGAGCACCGGCAGAAGGTGGCCTCCCGCTTCTCGGCCAAGCACTTCCTGCAAGACAGCTTCCACCGCGGGGGTGTCGTGCCCCTGCAACAGTTCCTCCAGAGGTTCCCCGATGTCTCCCGCTCCACCTACTATGCCTGGAAGCACGAGTTGCTGGGCTCTGGCGGCAGCGGTAGTGGTGGCGGCGATGAGTGTGCCGAATCCCCGGCACTGGCTGCCACGGAGCTGACCGCAGAGAAGCCCCCAGAGGAGCAGGTGGCCGAAGGCCCCGTGTGCTCCTTGCTGTCAGCGTCCAGCCCAGGAGGCGTGCTGATGATGCAGCGGGCCAAGATGTATCTGGAGCATTGCATCTCTCTGAACACGCTGGTGCCCTATCGCTGTTTCAAACGCAGGTTCCCCGGCATCTCCCGTTCCACCTACTACAACTGGCGCCGCAAAGCCCTCCGCAGGAATCTTGCCTCGAAGCCGGCTACGGCTTCGGAGCCAGTGGTCACTACAGCAGAGGCTCCCCAGCCCACGGCTGCTGTGGAACCTGCTCTGCTCCTTGGGAAGGGTGAGGTGGGAGAAGAAGAGGCGGAGAAAGCTGGGGCGGGCCCCCCTGCACCCCAGGAGCTGCCGCCACCCAAGTTGCCCAAGATACGCCTGTCCCGGTGGCAGAGGCGGTTGCGCCGGGCAGCCCGCAAGCAAGTACTGCGGGGACACATGCCATTCTGTCGCTTCCGCCTCCGCTACCCCAGCCTGTCACCCTCCACCTTCTGGGTCTGGAAGAGTCTTGCCCGGGGCTGGCCTGGAGGTCTGTCCAAACTCCGGGTTCCAATGGCACCAGTGGCCCCCATGGACCCGGAAAGGAGCGGTGCAAAACGCGAATTGGGGAAGCCAGAGAAAGATGCCAGTGGGGGTGTGATAAATGTGACGGGTCCACCTGAGCTCACCTTGCCCACGGGGGCTTCTTTAGGAGACAACTCCACGGTGGGGACCCAGGGAGGGCATCCTGAAGAGGGGACCCTGAGAGAAAAAGGGGCATCCGCCCAACCCCAGTCCCAGCCCCAGCTCTGTGGAGGGTTGTCGAACACCCCTGTGGTGGTGGAGGCAGCAGGTAGCAGGGAGGGCCAGGTGCTGGTGATGGACATGCTGGCTGCTACCAAGTTCAAGGCCCAGGCCAAGTTGTTCTTGCAGAAGCGCTTTCAGTCCAAGAGCTTCCCGTCCTACAAAGAATTCAGTGCCCTGTTTCCCCTCACCGCCCGTTCCACCTACTACATGTGGAAGCGGGCCCTGTATGAAGGCCTCACCTTGGTGGATGGCTGAGTGGGAGTGGGGTGCCTAGGGTGCTGGAGGGAGGGGACCCCAGTTGCCCCTGGCATTGCCAGGATGCCCTGTCTTTGCTCGAGCTCTTCAAGGTCCCCTGTCATCACCCAAGGAGCTGTGTGTGTGACTCCAGGGCACAGAGAGTATGCTAGGGTGAGAGCAGACGTCAGCCATCTGGTCTCCTGTAGACAGCTTCTGGACCACAGTTGTTCTTTTTCTGTTGATTGCAGACCATATTTTTATTGTTTTAGTGTTTTTGTTTTGACTTTCAGCGGGTTGGCTGAGCCCTGTTGCTGCTGTTGCAAGCTGTGGAACGTGTCAGTTGAAGCTGCTTTCAGCTTTTCCAGGGTGGCCATCTGTCCCCACCGAGGGGAACAGATCTCTGTCGCAGGGTGATGGCTGCTTGGTGTCCTCTGGGGCAACTGGGATCACCGCGTGCACTGGCCTGTGCCCTCCCCAGGGAGGAAGGCTGGCTGGAGAGGATGCAAGTACTGTTTAGGACATCCTGTTGCAGACTGGTCTGTTGAGAACCCCAAGTCCCCTGTCCATCTGGCTGGCGTGTACCCCAACATTCTGCTGAGCCTGAGCCCCTCAGGCAGGTGGGAGAATGTCCAGCTTCCAGGAATAAAGTTTGAAAACCAAAGAAATAAAGTGAGCGATGCCCACAGCTGTTGTTCTCTGGTCTTTGTTTGGCTGGGATGGGGTGCTTCCCCCAGCCAGGGTGCCATGCTGCTCTTGCTGGGGGGATGGCTGGGGGTGGGTGGGGTTTATGGTGCCTGTGAGGACCTTTCCCTCCCATTGGAGAAGCTGAGTACACTGGGTTTCCCACCTGTTCTTGACACATGGTCAGGCAGGCTGGGCTCAGCCTCAGGTTCTTTTGCACATGTCTAAGTAGTGGGTGGGACTGAGCATTAGGTCCAGTCGGGACAAAGCCTGGTTAAAGAAGTCATCTTGGGGCCCGGTGCGGTAGCCTGGTGGCTAAAGTCCTCACCTTACATGCACCAGGATCCTGTGTGGGCACCAGTTAGTGTCTTGGCAGCCTCACTTGCCAGCTCTTTGCTTGTGTCCTAAGAAAGCAGCCAAGCTTTCCCAAGCCCACAGCCTTGGGACCCTGCACCCATGGGAGATCCGGAAGAAACTCTTGGCTCCTGGCTTCATGTTGGCTTAGCACCGGCAGTTGCAACCACTTGGGGAATGAACCAGTGAACAGAAGATCTTTGCCTCTCCTCCTCTATAAATCTGACTTTCCAATTGAAAAAAATCTTAAAAAAAAGTCATTTTGGTGCTGGTGCCATTGTGTAGTAGGTTAAGCCTCCGCCTGCTGTGCCAGCATCCCACATGGTGCCGGTTTGAATTCTAGCTGCTCCGCTTCCGATCCAGCTCCCTGGGAAAGCCATGAAGGATGATCCCCCATCCACGTGAGAGACTGTGGAAGATGTTGCTGACTTCTGCCTGGTCATTTGGGGAAAGAACCAGTGGATGGAAATTTTCTTTTTTAAGAGACCTTTTTCTTCCTGATCAGGCTCCCTGCAGTGGCTGTCCTCCGTGGATAAGGTCTTGGGGAGTCCTGCTCGGCTCTGTCTTGTTCACCCCCACATCCAGCCTGTGTAAGGCCTGCTGAGTATGCTCCCCGTCACGTGACCGTGGGCCCTGCCTGTCTATGGCGGAATCTCCACACCCTCTGCTTGCTGTCCTGTGGGTCTGCCCCAAGCTGGCGTCCGTGGAGTGTCTGCAGAGGCCTTGGCGATGTCGCATTCCGTCACTGTCCTCTCTGAGACGTGCTTGTGCTCTGATTCTGCAGATGCTGGATTTTTGTCCTGCACTGGCCCTTTCCCACCAGGCTTTGCTGCCCCGCCTCTGGCCTTGAACTTGCTACCAGTCTGCTCCAAGGGCCTTTGTAATCTGGAGGACTTTCCCTGCCGCCTCTGACCCGCAGCGTCGCTGCCACCCTGCTCGCCCTGATCCGTGGGCTGAGGACGCCTGGATGTTTTTCTGTTTTGCTCAGATGACAGTTGCACTCCTTTCTGTTCCCGTTTGCTGTTAGGACAGGAGCCCCAGAAAGTGGGGCTTTTCTGGACTTGCTTGCACTGCTGTATTCCCTATGGATGGGTCAGTTCTTGGCAAATAGAAGGTGCAAAGAAGTGTTTGGCGCGGTAGCTTAGTGGCTAAAAGTCCTTGCCTTGCACTCACTGGAATCCCATGTGGGCGATTCCAATCCCAGCAGCCCCACTTCCCATGCAGCTCCCTGGATATATATTTTGTCCTAACCCCACGGCCAATTGTTATTGGCTACTGCACTCATCTTTGATGCTGGAATGGGTTTTAAGTGGACTTTGCCTCTATTCAGACTACATTATTCCATCCTCCAGATGAAGGCCAGACCAATCTTGGTTAAAACATAAGTGTACCCGGCATGGTAGCCTAATGGCCAAAGTCCTTGTTTTGCACGCGCTGGGATTCCATATGGATACCAATTCTAATCCCGGTGGCCTTGGGACCCCGCACCCGAGTGGGAGAAACAGGAGGAGGGTTGGAAGAGGTTTTCGGCCAATATGACCTGCAATAGCTACCTCCAGCCAGAAGATGGCAATGTGGTCCAACAAGAGACAGTACTTGGTTCCAAGCAGTTCAGTCCACCTGGTTTCCAGCTCTCAGCCCATGCTATTTACTGCTTTGTCCAACAGGGGGCGGTGCTGACTCCCTCCTGAGAGCTATCCTGGTTGGGGTTTGGTTTCTGGCCCTGGGTACCAAAGCAGGTCCTTGGCTAGCTGGATAGGGCAGGGTCTGTCCAGTGGGGTTTAAAAGCCACCTGGGTGGCTTTCAAGCTAATACGTCACCTGCAGTTCTGGCATACCATATGGGCATCGGTTTGAGTCCCATCTGCTCTTCTTTCTGTCCAGCTCCCTGTTTATGGCCTGGGAAAGCAGCAGAGGATGGCCCAAGGCCTTAGGACCCTGTACCCACATAGGAAAACCAGAAGAAGCTGCTGGTTATCAGCTTCAGACCCATCAAACTCTGGCTGTTGGCAACCATTTGGGGAGTGATTCAGTGGATGGAAGATCTCTCTATCTGTAAATCTGCATATCCAAAACAAATAAATAAATCTAAAAAACACACAGGGCCCGGTGTGGTAGCCTAGTGGCTAAAGTACTTGCCTTGCGCATGCGAGGTGCTGGTTTATGTCCAGGTGGCCCACTTCCCATCCAGCTTCCTGCTTGTGGCCTGGGAAAGCAGGCAAGGACAGTCCAAAACCTTGCACCTGTGTGGAAGATTTGGAGGAAGTTCCTGGCTCCTGGCTTCAAATGGCTCAGCTCCAGTCATTGTGGTCACTTGGAGAGTGAATCATCGGATGGAAGATCTTCCTCTTTGTCTCTCCTCTCTGTATATCTGACTTTCCAATAATAATAATAATACACACACACACACACACACACACACACACACACCTGTCTCACTACTTGGGGGGCTTGTTGGCAATGTGTAGCAGTGCATGACCTAGCCTTGCTGCGCCTCCCTTTTGCTCTCTTGAGATTGTGGGTTACAGCCATGCCCTCATCTAGTGAGTGTTGTCTGAGCATGTGGGAATCGATGGCATGCAGCTTGAGAGCCCCTGGGAGCCCCATTCCTGGTTCCAAGAGGAAGTGAATGCCCCAGGGACACTTGCTCAAGGTCACGCTCAGGAGAAAAGATGGCTCTGTCCCAAGGAGGCAAGATCTTGGCTTTGGATCTGTGCCAGCACCAAACCCTGAGCCTGCAGGCAGACATTCTAAGGGCTGTGTGGAAAAGCCGAGATAAAAGCGATATGTCAATATTTATCGATTTAGCAAAGGTTTTCTAAGTAGGGTTAAATTATTGTGCATAAAGCTGTTTCTTTTATAATCTCCTTAGAAAGGCAGGGATACCTAAGTGTGCCCATATTTGCTAGAATGCTTCATGCTGCTTTTGAAGTCAACATTTGTTGAAGTTATTTGTATGTTTTTCTTGCACTAGCTGTCTTGGGTGCCAATGTGGAAAGCAATTGCACTGAAATGGACAATGTGCGAATAAGGAAGGAAACAGAAGGTGTGAGTTTGACTTCACATCCTTTTCTAACATTCTGTGCAGTTGTAACAACTGGTTCTAAAAAATCTAAATTTAAGACTTTTATCCTAAGAAACCAAACAGATGGCTGCGGCATTGTGGTTCTGTGGGTTAAGCATCTGGCTCCACTTGGGGTTCCAGTTCCAGTCCCAGCTGCTCCTCTTCCCATTCAGCTTTCCTCCTACAATGTACCTGGGAAGGCAGCAGAAAATGGACCCCTGCCACGTGGTGTGGGAGATCTGTGTGGAACTGCAGGCTCCTGGCTTCAGCCTGGCCCAGCCCCAAGCACGTGGCCGTTTGAGGAGTGAGCCAACGGGTGAAGGTATCTCTCTGTTACTCTGTCAAGTAAGTAAGTCTTTAAGACAACCAATCAGATGAAAAAGGAATAATTAACACTTCTCCCTCTTGTTTCCATATGAGTCAACTTCAAAAAGTTCATGGCTGTAGAATTCAAAATGAAGATTGCAGGGCTGTTAGGGCCACTAAGCGGACACCTGGGTCTCAGATCAGAATGCTGGTATAAGCTCCACTGATTTCTGCTTCGGGTTCAGCTTCTGTCCATGTGCCTGGGCAAGAAGGGCTGATGGCCGTGCGCCGGGGCTCCTGGCTTTGGCTTGGCATGGCCTCGCTCTGCCTGTGAGCGAGGTGGGGTGAGACTGAGCAGATGGAAGATCTCCGTGTCATTCTGCCTTTTGCTTAAACAAATCTTTTAAAAGGTAAGTATTTTGGCACAAAAGTATTAAAAATCCCGTGGGACCTTCTAGCATGGCTTTCGTTCCTCCTTCCCAGCTAGAACCCACAACTTACCTTTGGGGTCTCACAGATTTTCAGCTAATTTCAGCTATTCCTGTACCTGATTTATCTCAGGGAACAGGAGGAAGAAAGCTTTTAGGGGAGATGAAGAGCAGCAGAGAGGAGGT